AAAAGAAAAAGAAAAAAAGAAAGAAAGATCTCTTACCCTTCGAGACAGCATGGATGGAACTGGAGAGCATTATGCTAAGCAAACTAAGCCAGTCAGAGAAAGACAAATATCACACAATCTCACTTATATGTGGAATCTAATGAACAAAATAAACTGATGAACAAAATAGATCCAGAGATATAGAAGCATGGAACAGACTGACAGATCTCAGAGGGAAGAGGGGGGCAGGAAGAGGCTAACTGAAGAACTTGTATGCATATATGCATAACCCATGGACACAAACAATACTGCAGCGAAGGCCTGGGGGCAGGGGAGGGGGCGGGAAGGGAGCTAGGTGCAGGGGAGGAAATGGGGGGCATTTCTAATACAATAAAAATAAATTTAAAAAAACATACATTGCTCTTTTTAAAAACTAGTTTAAGCACAACATATGGAAGGCCTCGCTGTGTACTGGAGTCAGGAACTGCAACTCCTGGGGGGCCCAGATAGCTCCTTTTTAAAAAATCTTTCAGTCTTTTCAACTGGGGCCAAGGGAAATTTTAAAAAAACATACATTGCTATTTTTAAAAACTAGCTTAAGCACAACAAATGGAAGAGCCTCACTGTGTACTGGAGTCAGGAACTGTAATTCTTGGGGGGCTCAGATAGCTCCTTTTTTTTAAATCTTTCAGTCTTTTCAACTGGGGCCAAGAGCGTCTCCTTTCCATCTCCCTATACAGATCTGCTTCATCCTTTCCTTATATTTTTCTTTTCTGTTTCATGTTCTCTGCCCATTTCAGCCGCAGCTTCATAGAATCTCACACTTCAAGTTTTTAATAGACACTGACTAATAGCTTCTCTGTCCCAGGTCTGCATTCCAGGGGAGAGAAAATGATTAGTTTAGGCAAGATCAGGTGACCATGACTTGGTCCTGGAAGCTGAGATGGGGCTGGGAGTGGTGTGCATATACTTTGTTGTTCAAACCATCATATGTTTGAGAGTGAAAGGGGGTTACTACTAATAAGTACATTAGAACAACAGGTGCAAAGCAGAATTGTGTGGGGAAGCTGCAATATGTTTACTCTATGTACGAAACTTTGGGCTTTAGGGGCTTGTTCATGTGGGCAGGGAAGTAGTCCTTAGAGAGGGGAACATGGTTTAGGGGCGGGAACCCTTTAAAAAATGGCTAAGTGTCAACAACAAAAGTGGAACTTTTTTATGTATTCAGTATTACTGGAAAGACTGTGGGAGGCATAATCCTGCCACGAGGTTGCCTTTGGAAAGACAACTTGGGATTCAACTGCTGTTGGATGATGTGCACCTGTTAGCTTAGTTGAGAGAGCAGAGGAAGATACCGGCTCCCATTCCTCAGAGTGTGCCTGGTGGGGAAAGCTTAGCCTCCCCACCTTCTCCTCTTGTGGGCCCCTTGAGTGCGTGAAGGTGTGAGAAGGCAAGCCGGTGACCTCGCTCTGAGCACCCCTTAGCACTTCCTCCCCCATGGTCTTCCTCCTCACCCAACCTACCCTTTAATGTCAGCAGTTTTTCCCCAAAACCCCTTCTGCACTTACAATGGCACACCTCTTAGTTCTTCTTGTCCAGCTGTTACTTCTATATTGTCCTTGGCCCCAAACTATCCCTTAAATGCATTATGAGCTCAAGAGCCATGTGCAACACTTCTAACCCTTGAAGCCTCACCCTGTGCTGAGTAGTGCGTCCCTGTTCCAAATGCTTTCTGACTTTTCAAAAATCACAGGGTATTTGACACTGATGTCAGCAATTTCCGTTTTCCTTTCTCTGCACTAAGTGATGTCTCCGCAGTGAGCTGGCATCAGAGGGGAGGTACTGTGTGAGGAGATTGCTAATATGCAAGATAGTTCGCAGTGAGAAAGTGAATGACATAGAACGAGAGAAGGAGTTTATATTTGGAACTGAGTGGCTGTGTACAGGAAGTTAAAAATAACGATTTAGCCCTTACATCTTTATTTTTATACATACTACCACCATGAGGACTCTGAACAAGAAATGAAATTTAATTCTGATGTTCTTCAAGGATTATTGCCTCTTGCCATGGAAAATGACAACTCGTGAATGTTTCCCATAGGCTGCGAGGGTGACCAAATGGCAGAGGTTGTACATGAAGCCATGCTGCATCAAGTCATATTATTCCTTAGCTATTTTGCTAAACTGAATATCTTTTTTTTTCAGTCAGGGATGAGGACATCTGAGCTTGATATTCTGTTGAGCATAGTAACCAGGTTCATTGCCCAGCATACTTCATTGAAGACCGTATGAATTTATGCACATTTTGGTGAGCTGCACAGTGATGTATGGTTGGCTTTTCCTATCAAATGATACTCTTCGAGTGCCACAGCCAGATCTTAATCTCCAGAGCAGAAGCAAACTTTATAAGAAATAAATCTGGCAATAAACCACCTCAGAGGCTTGCACAGAAAAATTAACCCAAAGACACAATTTGACTGTTAATAGGTGTCCTTTCTGGCCCTGTTCTGGGCATGGCATCTGAGCTGAGAGTTTTCTATGGAACATCCAGGTTGGCCACGTCCCGCATTTAAGGGGTGCGGGTGCTGTGTGCTGACCTCACTCCTGTTTCCCCCATGGAAAGGTCCTGAGAGGTGTGGCCAGATGCATCTACATAACGCAATAGCACTCCTGCCAAGAGGGGTGTCCTTGTACTTTTAGGAAGAGAGATGGGATCATCGACCCTCAAAGGGTTCTCCTGAGTATCAGGCACATCTGGGCATCCCTGAGAGAGCTCTGTCGCCGGAGCTTTGAGGCAGCTCCAGCTAAGTAATCGTCAGTGCCTTGTTGACATTTATGAGCTTTAGGACAGCCAAAGTAGAGCATCAAACCAATCACAAAACCCTTTCAAGGACGGGCCCTGTGTAATCGCTCTGCCTGTACATCCACAAGCTGGTCCTGCCTTGAGAGTTAAGTGCCTCGGTGCCTCACTTCAAAATGCATTGACATCCTCAGGAAAACTTGAAGGAATGCAAAGAAACAAACAAAAAAATGCCTACGGGGACCCTGACCGAATATATATATAATGCCTAGATCCCAGCACCAGCCCATCAGTACCTTTGGCATCTGCTGAAGTGAAAGCTCATGTTCTTGATTAACACAGATCAGTTTGCCTCCTGGAAGATGCCTGGAGTCATGTAATGCAAGTCAGGGGCAGGCGGTGGGAGGGAAAGCTGGGGTAACACATTCATTCAGCCTAATCCCATTTCACTGCCTTCCTTTCTCTGACTTTCTACATGTATAATCTGCAGCCTCTACACAACAGCAGAGTGATCTTCTCAAAAGAGTATCTGTCCTGGCCCTGGAGTCATGTAATGCAAGTCAGGGGCAGGCGGTGGGTGGGAAAGCTGGGGTAACACATTCATTCAGCTTAATCCCATTTCACTGCCTCCTTTCTCTGACTTTCTACATGTACTAGTATAATCTGCAGCCTCTACACAACAGCAGTGTGATCTTCTAAAAAGAGTATCTATCCTGGCTCCCTGCCCCCTTTCCCTGCCTAAACTACCTACATGATGTTCTGATACTTAGAGTCCAATTGAGAATTCTCACCCACATTCCAGGCTGTGTGTTCTGGTCTCCGCTGGACTTCAGCCACACCAAGCTTCCAGCGCTGCCACTTCTTTCTGCCTCAGGCATTTTGCACATACCATTCCCTTCACCTGGAATGGCTTTCCTGCTTTTCATCCCTCCCCCGTGGTTTCTCCAACTTCCCTCTTTGTTGAGATCACAGTTTACATGCTTTTCCAACCCTCTGCCCATATACATTCCCCACCCCAACACCACCAGCAGTTGGAATTATACACTCTCATTGCACCTTTAATTTGTGTTAATGCCTGTCACCTGACTAGTCTGTGAGCACCATGAGGGTGGAGGCAGGTCTGTTCTGTGCATCATTCTGTCCCCGGGCCTGGCATAGCTCCTGGAACATGGTGGGTGCTCAATAGGTGTCTGTTGAAAGTATGAGTGGATGTTCCACCCAGTTCACGGTTTACACTTAATTATATAATATCTTGAGTTATCTGTTGTCCTTCGCTAATTTCAGTGATTAGTTTTGAAACTCTGACGTCAGGCCACATTTCTGTTTTTCTGCATCTTCCACAGTGCTCAACCAGTAGTAATAGTCAAGGAATGTTATTGACTAAAAGCTTTAAGCATTTTACACATTCAACTTCTGCCATTATAGTATAGATAACTAAGAAAGAAAACCAATTATGTATTTCGTATGTATTTTATTATACATACTTCTGCCGATTGGTGAGGTAATAACCAAAACTAGACATAATCTTATTCCTAGGATTTGTGTCTCAAAAGAAAAATTCAACTGTGATATAAATCTCCCTCTCACAATCGTAGGTTATTGATTTTGGAAATGGTCTTGATATAAGGACTGGTAGTGTTCAGTGTACTCTGGGGTAAATGCATCATCCATTTACGTATGCAGTCATGCCCCTCTTAATGACAGGGATATGTTCTGAGAAGTGTGTCATTAGGCAATTTTGTCCTTGTGTGAGTATCATAGAGTGCACTTACACAAACCTGGATAGTGTAGTCTCCTACACACTACGCTGTCATGTATGCAGTCCATCATTGACCAAAATGTTATTATAGGACATGTGGCAGTGTATAAATGCACACAATTCATGTGTTATGATAACAACTGGCAAAAGGAGTTGATATGCTGTCATTCTTTCCTATAACGTGGCTTGTCCTCAACTCCTTGTCCAAAATGGAATTTGTAAGGTGGGTGTTCACTGATAAAAATCTTAATGGGATCCTGAGGGGCAATATGTTTTTCTCAGTAACTTTTACAACTGGGACTTTGACCCTCTGGGTCTCTAGTCCTATCCAGTCTTTCTGATGGACTTCTTCCTCTTGCTATGTTGTTTTTTGTAGATTGAAGGCCTTGATAGCATTGAACATATTTTTAGTATAACTAATAATGGTTTATTCTCCCACTTTCTTTCAAATGCCTTTTGTAGACAAGAAGCCCCAAACTGTCTCACAGTCCTCAGCCTCCCAGCTTGGGCGACCCGGTGGAGCATTTATCTGAGACTTCTGGTGACTCTCTGGAAGCCATGTCTGAGAGCGAAGCCCCAAGTCCTTTCTCCAGAGGCAGCCGAACTCGAGCGAGCCTTCCGGTGGTGAGATCGACCAACCAGACGAAAGAAAGATCTCTGGGTGAGCCTCAGAAAGCAGTTTCTGATGTCTCTTTATTACTGTGTGTGTCTTGTTTTTAGACTTCTGAACACATGCTTCTGCAATGGAATGTTAATTTGATCTCGATTTGTAAAAACACGAATCCCGAGAAACTTCACTGATTGAACACCACACATGAAGATTTGCCTGCTGGGGAAGCAGAAATCTAAGATGTCTTTGGGAATGGGCACATTTAAACCTGGCTGGTTAGCCACTCGAGCCAACACGCTGGCAGTACTTGCCTGTGTCCCTGATACAGGGAAGAGTGGGGGACAGACTGCAGAATGAGTGTTGTTTCTCAGGAACCTCTTTCCCCGTCTCAGAAGCCTGGAGAGTTGAGATCTGAGTCCTGGGAGCTGGGTTTGCACCAGCACCAGGCTACTGTCTGGCAGCCCAGAGGAGGGTGTGAATGGCTCCAGGAAAAAGAGGTGCAATGTGGTCAAAACACCCATGACTGTTAGTGACAGCTGTAAACTCAGGGCTGTTCATCCCACTGCCACACGAAAGGATGGAGGGGCTTGGCACATGTTTGGCAAAGCTTTTCCTTCAATGAGTTTGTAAGAAAAACAGGAGGTTTCTCTCTTTCTGCCACTGATTGTTTGCTTTTTCTTATTGGACGTTTCACTTCCTGTCTTGCTCTGCTGTTTGGTTTTTTTTTCTGGCCCTTTAACAAAATGTACAGGTATGAGAACCTAGACCTCTTTGCCAGTTGTGCTGGTGTTTCATACGCTTAACTTGCCATTTCAAGTTTTCCACTTGGTACCTGTGTTTGCAGACAGATGGGGATCAGGGGAAAGAGGGGGCAGGAACTGGGTTAACTAGAAAAAGCTTCAGGGTTTGGCCCCTAGAATTTAGCATGAGACAGCTAAATTCTATGTAAAACCTACCAAATGCTTTGCATGAAGAAGAAAAGAGAAGGAAGACATGAGGAAGTACCCTGAATTTGTTCCTCACCTGCAGATGATGAGAGCAGACAGGATTCAGACATTGTCCTAGCTGTCCAAAAAAGACCAAAACAAAACAAAACAAAACAAAAAAAACCCCTATTATTATTTGCATTATTAATTTTAACATTAAACTTGTATACTTCATTTTAGCTTATAATCCAGGTTCCTCATTTCAAAAATAAGAGAAAAAAGACACACAGAAAATATGCTTTTTAATTTTGGGGGTTACATAGTTGATTAAATGGCAGAAGCAGTAGCCCAGGCTTCCTACCGCCTCATTTACAAATGAAAGCGAGGGACCTGAAGGGGTGAGATAACGCCCAAGGAGCATAGTGGGCCAGGGCAGTGTCAGGATGACACAGGCTTCCACCCTGGTACCAGGCTGGGGCTTTCCAGCTGGATTAGGGAGCATCCTGCTCTCTTAAACCCTTCGAGCTGGAGGCAAGAGCACCAGGAACCAGCTGAGGAGCGGAATTTCTCCTTTGTGCTCTGCAGGAAATGAGTGAGGTTCAGTTCTCGGTACAGACAGCCTGTGCTTTGCGAAATAAAATGAAGATAAGAATAAATGCCTCCGTGCCTTCCCCATACCTGGGGAACATTGAGCCTGTTGGATAATGGACCCTTTGTCTCGCAGCCAAGCGCATTGGCAGCGCAGGTGGGTAGATACTGGCTTCAGGAAGCGGAGGGGCTGTAGGAGCCAGGGCAGCCTCGCCCTAGGAATTGCTGCGGGCGGCTGGTGTTTCCTCCTGCCCTTCTGCAAAATGCCGAGATTTACTCTGAGCCCACCTGGCTGTAAAGTTCCTGCAGGGGCAGAGTCACAGCTGATTAAAAATGCATCCGAGATGTTTACCCCTCCAGCTCTAGGAGGGGCTTTAGGCCTGCGATTTTTACAGCCCCTGGATAGACACAAAGGAACACAGTGAGAAGAGAGGAATGAGAAGTTTGCCCAAGCAAGGGGAACTGTGGTTCCAGAAAATGAACTGGCCAGTGGAGTGGGCGCTGCCCTGGTCCCCTCTTGGTGGCCTGTTTGGGAATGTCCTCCCAGCCGCACCTGGCCTTGTGGAGCAATTCAGTTGGGCCTGGATGGGAAATAAACAGGAAAGTGAGTCAGAGAGAGTCTAAACACAGTCTCCCTGCCAGGGCCTCGTTCAGCTTTATGTTCAGGAAACCCCGTGTGCCTGGCTTTCTTTAACACTCAGACACGGGCTCCTGGGAAGGGCAGGAGCAGCAGGTCTCTCCCAGCCCTTGGTACTCCAAGTCTCAGAGGCTGCAGACCGGGTACTGAGCCGGGACCTCCAGAAACCCACCGTTGGTGCCATTTGGACACCTGGGTATCTTTTCGAACCTGTACATTGTCATTTTACCTTAATGCACAAAATTTTACGATCTCCCCCAAAGCCCTGTTGACTCTGCCTTTAAAATTTTCATAGTTTGTTCATCATGGATTTTTTGCAAGAATTTTGATTTTTAAGATATCACATTAAGTTATAATTGATCTTGATTACTCTTTGGGGCCTCCTTAAGTTTTGCACTGGTGGAGAGTGCCATGCTCTCCTCACTCCAGTGGCTGCCCCTTGGGTCACCCCGGGACACCGCATCCCATTGCCGTAGCCTCAAAGCCACAGAGCCCGGGAGGAGGCTGAATCAAGCCCAGGTCCTAGGCTGCTCTTCTGCACATGCGCAGTGTGTTGCTCAGGCAGCGCAGGGGGAGACTCGGGCACCATGAAGGCAGAGCCCAGACGAGGCAGATCCTCAATTCACTCCCGCTCCCCGGGAGTTTCATTCCCCCCACTTCAGCAGCCTGTGCCCAGAGATAAACCTGCCTGCTTAATCATTTTCCACTTGACTGATTCCCCCTTTCTGTTACTTGAGTGTATTTAGGGGATGGGAGGAGCGAGGGAGGTGGGGTGCCTTTCACAGAGGCTGTGAGCAGACTTAGAGGAGAGAAGGGACAGAGACCTCAGCCATCGCTGGGGTCTGTTTTCATATTCTCCCTCAGATGCGTCCTGCAGGCAGGATGTGAGCTCCGCTTTGGGGACAGGCGCCGAGGGACTGCAGGCAGGACACAGGTCCTTTCTGATGCTGAGGGCAAGCTCGTCATTCTTAGAGGTTTACAAAGAGGAAGTAAGGAAAGCACGGTGCTCAGCGGCCCCGATTTACAACCTGAGCAGGTCCCGGTGATCCACACCTGTAAACCTCTACTTCTGCAGTGTGCTGGCTTCCCTGCCCCTCCACCATCGGAGCCCAACCGAAATTCTTCTCGGTGGCATTTTCACCATTTCTCCTCCCCTCTCTCTTCAGTGAAAATGGAGAAAAGGAGAAAGGAATTCTGCAAAAGAAAGCAAAAACCGCTTTGCAGTCGCATTTGGTTTTAGAAATAATTTCCATGAAAAACTGCCCCGCTGACATGAGGTCTGGGTCTCGGTGAAGGGGCCCTCCGCTGCCCTTTAATCGTCGCTGTCTTTCTTATAAAGGCCTGTACGGAATGTGACCGTAGGCAGCCATGGGGAAAGGGCAGCCTCGAGACATTTGAAAGTAAAACTCATGTGAAACCGAGAAGAGCAGCAGCACCTCCTCGCTGCGGCCAGATGCCTGTGTTGACCATGTTCTGAATGGTTGACTTGTCCTTCCTTCCTCTTCAGTGGGTCTTTTATGGATGAGCTCCATTGATCAGTTTTTTCTTTTATGGGTTGTGGTTTTGGTGATATGTCAAAGAACTCTTCACGAAGGTCAAGGTCCTCAATCATGTCTCATTTTTTCTATAAGTTTTATATCTACTAATATGTATCGTGCATTTAAGTCCACAGTCTGTTTTGAGTTAATTTTTGCACGTGTGACCCTTACCAGCTTGCCAGCCGGACAGGTTGCTGTTTCTGTAACAAATTGTCTTTTGAACCCTCAGACTCAGCAAGCAAGAATGATTTGAAATGGCTTGAGAAGATTTTAGACCAGCCGTGGGCAAACTACGGCCCGCGGGCCGGATCCGGCCCGTTTGAAATGAATAAAACTAAAAAAAAAAAAAAAGACCGTACCCTTTTATGTAATGATGTTTACTTTGAATTTATATTAGTTCACACAAACACTCCATCCATGCTTTTGTTCCAGCCCTCCGGTCCAGTTTAAGAACCCATTGTGGCCCTTGAGTCAAAAACTTTGCCCACCCCTGTTTTAGACTAATTGGGGAGACTTTTTTTTCCACACATGAGAGTTGTTGAGTACCTATGTGGTTGTTCTTTTATTCCAACGTGGTAACAGTGATGGTGACCATTCCTGGGGGTGAGGAGATGTGTGAATTCAAGGAACAGAGGGGACAGAGTTGCCAGAATTTTTTCTCCTGCGCGTAAGAGTAGGTAGGAGGTGAGAGCAAAGGATTGAGGAAACCTCCATCTACCAAGTGGGAAGCCAAGGAGGGTGATGAGCAAAGACTGTGAGGCTCAGATTATTTCAGTGTGAACGTGATACCCCTTGCATAGTTAAAATAGAAACACATTTCAGACGAATGGAAAGTCGTGTTGATCTAGAGAGTAAGTGAAACGTTTATGAAATTTGTTTTCTAAGCACAAGTAATGATGGAAATGTAATATTATCAAAACAAAAATTTATAGAAGAGAGTTTCATAGCAGGTCAATAGGTTTGGGGCACATTCTGGACCTTTTTAGAGTGCTGTCAAAGAAAAGTTCAAGCATTTTCCCTAGTATGGAACTAAGTAGCTGGGGTAGGTGGATATGGCAACCTGCTGGCATGGTCCACTCCTGTCTCCTCCTGGTTTGCCTTTCTTTACTTTGGAGACAGGAAAGCAGACTGAGTCTGGAATATCAAATGTGTGGGTTCCAGAAGTGGGAACCAAGGCATTTGCAGAGGCTGTTGGGTTTTCTTCAGCATCATTTGCCAAGGTGCCAGAGCACTGCTATTTGATAGCATTGAAAGTCGGGTGCAAAGCATCCATTTTTCTAGTACTAAGGGCACAGGTGTGGCCTGGCTTTCCAGTACCTACTGGGTTCCTGCCTTTGGAGTCACAGTTGTCTGGGTGATGGG